CCCTCTCAGAGCTTCTGTTTCTTCGTGTGTCTGAGGACTGAGGGAGCTGGGCAAAGTGCCTGGTGTGGGGGCTGGCCAGTTAGCTCAGCTGGTTAGAGTGCAGGTTATAACACCAACATAACGGGTTCTGATCCCCTTACCAGCCAGCTGCCAAAAAAAAAAAGAATGCATTTGGGCCGGCTCGTGGCTCACTCAGAGAGTGTGGTGCTGATAACACCAAGGCCACGGGTTCGGATCCCCTTACTGGTCATCTTTTAAAAAGAAAAAAAAAATGTGCCTGGTGTGACACTGGACTCATGAGGAGTGCCCCTGTCAGGGCGGGCCATGAGTGAATCAAGGAAGAAATGGGTAGAGCAGAGGTCCTCAAACCTGACGTGCCTCACAGTCACCTGGAGGGCTTCCTGGGCCCCACCCCAGCATTCTGATTCAGTAAGCCTTGCATAATGAGGCCAAGAATTTGCACTTCTGACAAGTTCCAGGTGATACTGTTGCTGCTGGATCAGGGACCTTATGTTAAGAACCACTGTTAGGGCATAAATCCTGGCTCCATTTATCAGCTGTGTGACCTTAGGAAAGTTGCTTATGCTCTCTGAGCCTGTTTTCTCACCTGCAAAATGGATGTGGTAATGGTCCCTTCCCTTCATGGAGAGTGAGGGTTCAGTGAGATCCACAGGCCCTGGGTCATGGTGAGCTGTCCATAAACAGCGTCCACTGCGACAGTGCCCCTAGCAGAGCATGTGTCTTGACTGTCCCCTCACCCCCCAGAGTGCACCCCCACCCCTGTGTCCAAGTGGCCGCACTCCAGACCTGAAGGCTCTGCTCAACGTGGTGGACAATGCCCGGAGTTTCATCTATGTTGCTGTCATGAACTATCTGCCCACCATGGAGTTCTCCCACCCTCACAGGTACTGCTGGGTGCTTGTACAGGGCTCGGGGCAGGGAGCCAGTGGAGAGGAGATGGGAGAGAGAGAGATGAGGCTCAGAAAACAGGCAAGGGGGCCAAGGCAAGGCAACAGATGGAGGGGAAGCCACAGGGAGAGGCAGAGGAAACTGGGAGGGAGAATGAGAGATTTGGGTACTTGTGACAGGAGAAAGGGGGATTACAGGAGAGATGGAGATGAGCTTTGGGGGAAACAGAAAAGGATGAGAATATGGGGCTGAGGGGCTGGAGGCCTGTGAGGAGGTAGGGAGCATGGACTGGAAACAGGCTGAGGGGCTTAGAGAATTTGGGTTTGGGACAGCAGAGTTCGGGGTTTGTGATCTGGGATAAGAAGGGAGAAAATTGGGCTTGGGGATCCCAAAGAAGGTACTCTGGGGGCAGTAAATAAGATGATGGGAGTCCTGGGTTTGGGGAGGCAGGAATGGTAACCAGTAAAAGGAGACAGGATATGGGATTTAAGGAGGCAGGAATAGGGACTGTGAGCCAGCAATGGGGGGCTCTCAGAAGTTAAAGCAAGGCCCAGACTTCATTCCCCCAAATGGAAGGTGAAGCCTGTGGATAAAGCTGCCCTCTGTATCTTGCATTCCCCCCCAACCCAGGTTCTGGCCGGCCATTGATGATGGACTGCGACGGGCTGCCTATGAGCGGGGTGTCAAGGTGCGCCTTCTGATCAGCTGCTGGGGACACTCCGAGCCATCCATGCGCGCCTTTCTGCTCTCCCTGGCTGCCCTGCGTGACAACCATACCCACTCTGACATCCAGGTGGTAAGCACCCTCCCCAGACCACCCCCTCAGCCTATGTGGGGCAGTCCTGGGGACACAGTCCTCATGGAGCTCATGTGTCATCTGACAGGGACAATCCAGAGGGAGCCATGCCATGATGGGGAAGCCTTGAGTCAGAGCTAGGATGGGGAGGCCCAGGCAGAGGGGTCAGGGATGGGATGGGGAGGCACAGGCAGAGGGGTCAGGGATGGGATGGGGAGGCCCAGGCAGAGGGGTCAGGGCGGGATGGGGAGGCCCAGGCAGAGGGGTCAGGGCGGGATGGGGAGGCCCAGGCAGAGGGGTCAGGGCGGGATGGGGAGGCCCAGGCAGAGGGGTCAGGGCGGGATGGGGAGGCCCAGGCAGAGGGGTCAGGGCGGGATGGGGAGGCCCAGGCAGAGGGGTCAGGGCGGGATGGGGAGGCCCAGGCAGAGGGGTCAGGGCGGGATGGGGAGGCCCAGGCAGAGGGGTCAGGGCGGGATGGGGAGGCCCAGGCAGAGGGGTCAGGGCGGGATGGGGAGGCCCAGGCAGAGGGGTCAGGGCGGGATGGGGAGGCCCAGGCAGAGGGGTCAGGGCGGGATGGGGAGGCCCAGGCAGAGGGGTCAGGGCGGGATGGGGAGGCCCAGGCAGAGGGGTCAGGGCGGGATGGGGAGGCCCAGGCAGAGGGGTCAGGGCGGGATGGGGAGGCCCAGGCAGAGGGGTCAGGGCGGGATGGGGAGGCCCAGGCAGAGGGGTCAGGGCGGGATGGGGAGGCCCAGGCAGAGGGGTCAGGGCGGGATGGGGAGGCCCAGGCAGAGGGGTCAGGGCGGGATGGGGAGGCCCAGGCAGAGGGGTCAGGGCGGGATGGGGAGGCCCAGGCAGAGGGGTCAGGGCGGGATGGGGAGGCCCAGGCAGAGGGGTCAGGGCGGGATGGGGAGGCCCAGGCAGAGGGGTCAGGGCGGGATGGGGAGGCCCAGGCAGAGGGGTCAGGGCGGGATGGGGAGGCCCAGGCAGAGGGGTCAGGGCGGGATGGGGAGGCCCAGGCAGAGGGGTCAGGGCGGGATGGGGAGGCCCAGGCAGAGGGGTCAGGGCGGGATGGGGAGGCCCAGGCAGAGGGGTCAGGGCGGGATGGGGAGGCCCAGGCAGAGGGGTCAGGGCGGGATGGGGAGGCCCAGGCAGAGGGGTCAGGGCGGGATGGGGAGGCCCAGGCAGAGGGGTCAGGGCGGGATGGGGAGGCCCAGGCAGAGGGGTCAGGGCGGGATGGGGAGGCCCAGGCAGAGGGGTCAGGGCGGGATGGGGAGGCCCAGGCAGAGGGGTCAGGGCGGGATGGGGAGGCCCAGGCAGAGGGGTCAGGGTGGGATGGGGAGGCCCAGGCAGAGGGGTCAGGGCCAGGGTCAGGAAACCCAGAGGAAGTACCTGCCCTAGCCTGAGAGTCAAGGAATACTTGCTGGGAAAGGGGACATCTGACATGAGACCTCAGGAATGAATAGGAGCTACACTAGAGGGCTGCAAATGAGGCAGCTAGGTTCTTTTCAGCTGGGGTTTACTGAGTACCCCGTCCACTGGCCGTGTTCTGGCCCCCAGGATTGCATAGGAAGCAGCTGAGTCCCACAGATGGGTTCCATAACCTACCCCTGATCCTGGGGCTTCTGTGACTCTCCCTGCATCTCCTTCTCCTCGCCATCTTCCCCACCCCCTCAGAAACTCTTTGTGGTTCCTGCGGATGAGGCCCAGGCCCGAATCCCGTATGCCCGTGTCAACCACAACAAGTACATGGTGACTGAACGTGCCACCTACATCGGTGAGTGTCCCGAGCACCCACAGCGGGACAGAAGAGTGGGAGGTCCAGGCCACATCATGGGGCCCTTATTCTCCACCCCTTCCTCCATAGGAACCTCCAACTGGTCCGGCAACTACTTCACGGAGACAGCGGGCACCTCACTACTGGTGACCCAGAATGGGCGGGGTGGCCTGCGGAGCCAGCTGGAGGCCGTTTTCCTGAGGGACTGGGACTCCCCTTACAGCCATGACCTCGACACCTCAGCCAACAGTGTGGGCAACGCTTGTCGCCTGCTGTGAGGTCCAGTCCAGTGGACAGGCCAAGGCCTGTGAGGTTCCCGTGGACCCAGATGCTCAGGGTCCCAGTCCCTGTCTCTGTGCCCCCGCTTCTGTCTGCCCCATTGTGGCTCCACAGGCCCTCCCCTGCTCTCCCACCTCTACCTCCACCCCCACCAGCCCGATGCTGTGGCCCTGGGACCCAGCAGAGCTGGGGGAGGGATCAGCCCCCAAAGAAGTGGGGGTGCATGCTGGGCCCAGCCCCCTGGCCCACCCCCCCTTTCCAGGGCAAAGAGGGCCCAAGGTTATAATAAGAAGTAAATAACTTGTCTGTACAGCCCGTGCCTGCCTGAGTGATGTGAGATGGGATCTCAGGGGTAGGGGACAGCTGGCATGGGCCTCTGGTGGGGCCATCTTAGTGTGCTGAGCCCTCAGTGTGCGACCAGTGTGTGTTGGCATGTACTGATTCCTCAGCGTGTGACTAGTATGTGCTGAGCCCTCAGCATGTGATCAGCATGTACTGAGCCCTCAGTGTGGGTTGGCATGTACTGATTCCTTATCATATGACTGGCGTGTCCTGAGCCCTCTGTGTGTGATCAGCATGTGCTGAACCCTCAGTGTGTGATCAGTGTGTACTCATGAACCCTCAGCATGTGACCAGTGTGGGTTGGTATGTGCTGAGCCCTCAGTGTGCAGTGTACATAGGCTAGCATGTGCTGGGCATGCAGTGTCAACCATGTGGCCTGGCATGGACTGAGCACTCATATAGCCAGCATGAGGTGGCATGTGCTGCACACTAAGTGTGTTCCCAGATAGATTAGCATGGACTGAACCATCACCATATCCCAAGAGTGGACTAACATGTCTGAACACTGGAGCGTGCACCAAGTGTGAATTTATGCCTGCCAAGTAAATGTACACTTAGCATGTCCCAAGCATGGATGAGCATGCTAAGCCCATAACATGTAAAAAGGACAGATCTACAGACAATAAGACTTTAGCATTTGGCAAACTCAGGTTAACACATGCTGAACGCATAGAACATTCTGAAAATGGATTCTCAATGTGCCAAGCACTTAGCATATTTGGGAGATGGGTTAGCAGGCCAAGCGCAGCCTTTCCTTCCTGGTGCAGTAGCAGCCCAGCCTCCTCCAGCCTGAGCCAGTGGCCAGTCGGGGGCAGCATTGTAGAGCAAGGCCCTGGTGCCAGCCTGGAACCCCACCCCAGGGCCAGGCCTCAAGCCATGAGAACAGGCATGAGGCAGGACTGCTGAACAGCTCTTTATTGAAATAGGCAGAGGCAACAGGGCCAAGGGTGGGCTCAGAGTCAGCAGGTTGCAGCCCCTTCCTGCCATCGCCCTGGCCCAGGGGGCCGCTGGCCAGACCCCAAGGCCCTCCTGTGTTCGAGGTGTGTGTGCAGGCATGCGCTGTGGAAGGGTGGGAAAGGGAAATTTCTGGATAACTATCTTTCTGTAAGAATATAAGTTCTGGGAATGGCTCTGAGGGACAGTTCAGGTTGACAAAGGATACCAGCCCAGCTAGCACAGCCCCCAGTGATGGGCAGGGGTAGGATCACCATCAGTGGTGCCCACCAACGTGCTGCAGAAAGCTGGTGGCCAGGGGCAGACCACGTGGGTGGGGGTGCCGAGGTGGGAGCCCCTGAGCCCGTGGCCCCCTGACGCCTTCCAGGGTCCAGTCTGGCTCACTCAGCCATTCTCCAGGAGAGCTGCTGGGGTCAAAGAGCTCAGGGCCTGACTTCTGTGGGAGAGGAGAAGAGAGGGGCATCAGCCAAGAGGTGCTAGTGCCTGCCAAGCCTTTCACATCTTCCTGAGGGTGGGTGAACATGTACCAAGGCCTTATCCAGTGCTGGGCTTTTATCACTTCCTAGCAGTTGATTACTGTGCCCTGAGTTTTAGTAACACCCTGGAGGTAGGTTAGTATGGTCTGAGCCCTATCATCTCCTGAGGTCCTGAGAGTATTAGTGTGTGCTGAGCCTTATCACATAGTAAGGGAAGGTTAGTATGAGCTGGACCTTTTATCCTAAACATGGGTTATTGTGTACTGAGCCTTATCAAATCCTAATTGTATCCTGAATATGGATTATTGTGTGCTGAGCCTTATCAAATCCTAATTTTTTTTTTTTTTTTGGTTGCTGGCTGGTGCAGGGATCCGAACCCCTGACCTTGGTGTTACCAGCACCGCACTCTCCCAAGTGAAATCTTAATTAAATCCTGAATATGGAATAGCATGTGCTAAGCCTTATCACATCCCGAGGGTGGGATTGTGTGTGCTGGTCCCTGAGCCAGCTGCAGGCATACAGATGTGTGAGGCAAGGCCTGGTTCACTGTGCACCCACCCTGAAGTGAGTGCTAGGGGAGGCCCTGATCCCAACACCCCCTGCACCCTGCCCACCCATCTGGCTTACCTCAGTGTCCATGGTCATATCCTTGATGTTGGGCCCATCCCCGTCCCGCTGTGGGATGGCAGGCAGCTCAGCAGAGGCCCTGCAGTCCCTGAAGTGAGTGCTAGGGGAGGCCCTGATCCCAACACCCCCTGCACCCTGCCCACCCATCCGGCTTACCTCAGTGTCCATGGTCATATCCTTGATGTTGGGCCCATCCCCGTCCCGCTGTGGGATGGCAGGCGGCTCAGCAGAGGCCCTGCAGCGCTCTCCTTCCTCCCAGCCACTGCCCCGGCGGGGCCCATCATCCTCAGGTGAGGCCTGGCTCAGCCGGATGAGGTTGCTGAAGTTGGAGTCAGACTTGGAGCCTGAGGGTGGCTTGCGGGCCTTGTAGTGGCCAGACAGGCGGCTGCCATAGAAAGCCAGAATGGGCTCAGGGCCCAGGTTGGGTACCCGGAGGCCAGAAGTGGCTGCCTTGAGCGGTGCCAGCGTGTTGGAGGCCACATCAGCGCGAGTCTCACCCCACAGTCCATGGCCTGTCTCCTGCAGACTCAGGTCATCCAGCTGGTCGATGGCTCTTTGCATGCCTGGCACCTTCTCCTCTTGGAAGAAGGGCCCACTGCCTGCCACACTGCCTATGCCCATGGCCTCCTCTTCCTCAGCCAGACGGTAGTAAGGGGGCCCATCTTCTGTGGCAGTCACAACGGGTGTGGGTGGCTTGCTCTCCACCTGCAGCGAGAGGCGGCAGCCATGCAGAGAGAGCTGGTAGTAGTGAGTGGTCTCGTGGGCGCTGCGCAGCTGCTGCATGGACACGAAGGGGTGGCGCAGGGCCGCGCTGGGGCTGATGCGTTCATGCGACTCCCATGTCAGCATGCGCTTGATCAGCTCTACCATGCTCTTGAGGTCAGCATGCTCGGCCGCTTGAAGAAGTGGTGGGCCTTGTGGGCGCTGCGCAGCTGCTGCATGGACACGAAGGGGTGGCGCAGGGCCGCGCTGGGGCTGATGCGTTCATGCGACTCCCATGTCAGCATGCGCTTGATCAGCTCTACCATGCTCTTGAGGTCAGCATGCTCGGCCATTACCTCCCGGTCCGAGTAGCTCAGCCGACTGGCTGCTCCACCACCATTCACTGTCTCGATCTGGTCCAATGACTTGAGCATGTACTTGCGGCGCTCCAGTGGACACACCTGGTATGGCATGGGAGGCACAGAGTTGACATGTGTTCACAAGTAGGGCCTGCCCCTGGCACTCCTGCTCTGGGACCCACATGTGAACCCCGACTTCCAATTCTGACCATGATCTGACTTGGAGCTCTCTTGCTGCTGGGAGGGCCACACTTGATCCCTTACAGCAGACCACCTTTAGTCTAACCCAGAGCTCTCACTAACCCAAGTTCCACACTTCACGCCACACCTCCAGTCCTCCTGGGAGTTGTAGGTCCAGCCCCTATCAGCAGCTGGCATAGGGGCTGCTCTAAATCTCTAGTTTTCCTTGGAATCAAATCCAGATCCCTCTTGCTGGCGCAGCTTCCACACTTCATCCTAGCCTTCCAGGCCTCCCAGTGGTCAAACCCAGACCTTCTTGCTGTGAAAGCTCAAGCCCTAAACTTCTAGTCCCCTCTGCTGTCTAACCCAGACTCTCCTGCTACACAGGTTTGGTGACAACAGCCATGGAGGTAACAGACAGGTTGCTCTAAACTTCTAGTCCTACCTGGGGTCTCAGCTCCTTCTTTCTGCTGCAACTCTCACACCCAACCCCAGACCTCACATTTTCTCTATGTTCTAACCCAGATCCCTCATGTTGCACAACTTGCTGACCCCAGAGCTGAAGCTGGCAGAGAAGCTGCCCTAATCTTTCTGTCACATTTGCAGTATAACCCCAATCCCTCTTGCTACAGAAGCTCTTGTGTCTGACCTCCAATCTTTCAGTCCTCCAAGTAGTATCCCCAGATGTGTCTTGCTGCAGTAGCCCCCAGAGCTGACCCTCAAGATTCCAGCCTTTGGTCTCACCCAGATCTTTCTTTCTGTGACACCCCCAAGAGATGGCCCCCAACCTTCCCTGAGGTCTAAAGGTCTAACCTAAGGGCCAGCCCATGGCACACTTAGGAGAGGATGGTGCTGATACACCAAGGCCATGGGTTCGGATCCCTATATAGGATGGCTGGTTAGCTCTCATGGGAGAGTGTGGTGCTGATAACACCAAGTCAAGGGTTAAGATCCCCTTACCAGTCGTCTTTTAAAAAAATAAAAATAAAAAAATAAACGTCTAACCTAGATTTTTGGTAGGGTTTTTTTTTTTGGGCGGGGGGAGCTGGCCAGTGATTGAACTCTGAACCTTGGCATTATCAGCACCACGCTCTAACCAACTGAGCTAGCTGGCCAGCATAACCAGTCCTCCAAGTAGTATCCCCAGATGTGTCTTGCTGCAGTAGCCCCCAGAGCTGACCCTCAAGATTCCAGCCTTTGGTCTCACCCAGATCTTTCTTTCTGTGACACCCCCAAGAGATGGCCCCCAACCTTCCCTGAGGTCTAAAGGTCTAACCTAAGGGCCAGCCCATGGCACACTTAGGAGAGCATGGTGCTGATACACCAAGGCCATGGGTTCGGATCCCTATATAGGATGGCTGGTTAGCTCTCATGGGAGAGTGTGGTGTTGACAACACCAAGTCAAGGGTTAAGATCCCCTTACCAGTCGTCTTTTAAAAAAATAAAAATAAAAAAATAAACGTCTAACCTAGATTTTTGGTAGGGTTTTTTTTTTGGGGCGGGGGGAGCTGGCCAGTGATTGAACTCTGAACCTTGGCATTATCAGCACCACGCTCTAACCAACTGAGCTAGCTGGCCAGCATAACCTAGATTATTCTCGATGTAGCAGCTTTTGCACTGACTGCCCTCATCCCACCTGCCGCCGTTAAAAAAATAAAAATAAAAAAATAAACGTCTAACCTAGATTTTTGGTAGGGTTTTTTTTTTTGGGCGGGGGGAGCTGGCCAGTGATTGAACTCTGAACCTTGGCATTATCAGCACCATGCTCTAACCAACTGAGCTAGCTGGCCAGCATAACCTAGATTATTCTCGATGTAGCAGCTTTTGCACTGACTGCCCTCATCCCACCTGCCGCCGTACCTTGGTCTCAGCCAGGTAGTCAGCCGAGGACTTGAGCTGCCAGGGGTTGGTGGCATCAGGGTGGAGGTTGCGCTTGAAGAAGTGGTGGGCCTTGCGGGCGGCGTGCAGCAGATGGGGCTTGGGCAGGCCCTGGGTCTCACAGATATAGCGCACTTGGTCGTACTCGTTGTTGCCCGGGTAGAGGGGCCAGCCCAGGTGCAGCTCAGCCATGACACAGCCCAGTGACCACACATCCACCTTCTCACAGAAGGGCAGCCCCAGCAGAATCTCGGGGGCCCGGTAGAAGCGCGACTGGATGTATGGCTCCTTCACGTAGCGCACCTCGCTGAAAATGCTGGCCGAGCCGAAGTCGATCACCTGTGGGGTTGGGGAAGAGGGGCAGTGGGCAGGCTGAGCAGCAGGGACAACCAATTCAGACCTCCCCTGGTAAGTTTCACCTGGCGTCTTTATGCATCTGTCATCTGACTCTGTATCTGTGAGTCTTTATCTCTTGTTTATGTCCTTATCTTTGTCTCTTCCACTCTTTGTCTCTGGTTTGTGTGTCTGGCCCTCTCTGTCTCTCTTTCCACAAGAATTTATGAAGGATAGGACCCCTCTCTTTCTCACTCACCCCACGCCTTGCTCATCAGCAAATCTTATTGGCTTTCCTTTCTAAACCGATCCAGAATCTGCCCCCTCTGCATCCTGTCCACAGCCCCCACCCTAGTCCTGGCCTCCATTGTCTCTCACCTAGTCTATAGTAGGGGCCTCCTTGCTGGGCTCCCTGCTGCTCCTCTCTGCCCCCCAGTCTATCCCTCATGCATCCAGATGGATCCTGTAATCACCGGAGTCAGATCATGTCCTTCCCCAGCTCACAACCACATCCTGTGATAAAAGCCAAAGTCTTCACTGTGGCCCACGAGTCTCCAGCAACCTGCCCCAGTCACCGCTCTGCCCTCATCTCTTCCCACTTTCCCCCTCACTCACCTCCTCCAGCTACATGGGTCTCCTCACTATTCCTTGAATGAGCCAGACATGTTCCCAGCTCAAGGCCTTTGCACTGGCTACTCCCTCTGCCTGGAATGCTCTTCCCCGACATGTCCACACGGCTCCCTCCCTCTCTCCTTCAGGTCTTTACTCAAATGTCACTCATCCGTGAGGCTGCTCCTTACCATCCCACCCTTCCCTCTTTGCCTCATTCATTCTGCTTCAGCCACACAGTCTTTCTCAGTGTTCCTCAGATACATACACTCAGCACGTTCCGACCTAAGGACCTTTCACTGGCTGTTCCTGCTGCTTGGATGCTCTTCCCCGAGATATCTACACAGCTGCCTCCCTCCTCCAGGACTTCCCTCAAATGTCACCGTCTCAGTGAGGCCTCCCTGACCACTGCATCTAAAATTTCCCTCATCAGCACCACCACCCCCAATCAACACCCCACATCCTCCTCCTTCCCGCTCTGTCTTTTCTCCTTCTCACTCACATGCCGTATTTTACTCATTTATCTTGGTGACTGTCTCCCCCACTACAATGTCAGCCCCACGAGGACAGGACTAGTCCAGAGGAGATGAGCTAAGAATGGAAGAGGACAGGGAGACCTTAGGGACTGGAGGGGGAATGGGAGAGACCTCAGGTCTGGGATGTAGAGCATCTCAGAATTGGGATAGGGATATGGGGAGGATTTCAAGTCCAGGAGGTGAGGAGGGGCATCAGAGACAGTGTGAGGGAGACCTCGGTGTCAGAAGAGTATCCAGAGCTGAGGGAGCTGCCGCCCTGGACAGCCCCATTCACCTTGACCCTGAAGGGGCAGCGAGTCTGGTCCACCAGCATGATGTTCTCAGGCTTGAGATCGGCGTGGATGATGGCCAGCTCCTTGAGCCGGGCCAGGGCTCTGAGCACCTGCAGGGTGACTGTACGGATGTGGCGGGCAGGGAGGGGCGCAAAGTTGTTCTCCTTCTGGAACTCGAAAAGGTTTTGCTCTAGCAGCTCAAAGACCAGGTAGAACTTGAGAGCATCATGGAAGAACTCCAAGAAGCGGATAACATGGGCCTCCTCTGGGTCCAGGCCCCTCATGCAGCGCAGCAGCTTTAGTTCATTCTTGATAATGCGGTTGCGGTAGGCGTCATTCTTGAGGATCTTGATGGCCACCATCTCGCCTGTGCTTCGTCGCCAGCCCTTGGCCACCTCCCCGAAGGTGCCCTTGCCCAGCACCTCAATGATGTCATAACAGTCGGTCTCCGACTGGATGGTGCCCATGGTGCCCCTGCTGCCAGACACTGCCCAGCACCACAGGCTCTGCCACCGAGGCCTCCCACCCCGCCGCCGGCCCCACAGCACCCCCAGCGGGAGAAAGAGAACCACACTCGTGCCTCCTCCTAGGAGGTTGGCCCCCACCTCCCTGGCAACCCCCAGCCCCCTTGACCACACGACGAGTCTGCCAAGGGCTGCACCCCTCCCCCAAAGCCCTCCTGGCTTGGGATGAGGGGCCCCAGGCCCCCTCGAATGGGTTCCAGCGTTACTGAGTGGTTCTGGTTCTGTTGTCGGAGACCTGAGCCACTGGCTGGAATGGGGGGTGGGGTGCCAGGCAGGGCCAGGCCCCCTCCCCCACCCAGTGGTGGAACCCTGGAGAGGCCTGACAGTTGAAGGGTCGACTGAGAGGGGAGTCTGATGGTGGACCTCGGGCATACAGGAATGGGGACGTACCTCCAGACAGAGGTAAGGAAAGGCAGACTTTTCGAGCTGGGGAGAATGTGTGTATGTGTCTGTGTTCAGAAAACACCTGCCTTGTCTGTGGCTGCTGTGGAGGAGGTGTAGCTGGGGCAGATGCCAGGTTGTAAAAGGCCCTAAATGCCAGGCTAAGGAGTTTGGACTTTGTTCTGAGGGCACTGGGGAGCCACAGTAGGGCTTTGAGCAAGGGAGAGAAGGGTCAGATCTGAGTGTCAGAGAACTACTGTGAAGAAGGGTGGGTTGGAGTAGGCAAGAGTGGAGGTCCCAAGCCTGGAATGGAGGCCAGGACAGGGCCTAGGTGGAAGGGGTTAGGGAGGGGTTGAGAAGGCAGGTGGAAGAGACACTCAGAAGGCCAGGAGGACAGGCCATAGGAGTGACAGGTTGGGGAGGAAAAGGACTGCTGTCCAGGACAAGGTCCAGGGCTCTGGTCTGGGTAAAGAGGAGGCAGTCCCTGAGAAGGGGACATGGACAAAGAGCAGTTGGGAGGAGAAGATGCTAAGATTAGGAAATTTAACATCAAAACATTGAAACACTTATTGAGTGTTTCAGAAGTTCTATTTCATTGTTACAGCATAAGAAGTAGGAATTTTATGGAAGAGAAAATCAAGGCAAGAAGAAATTTTTTAAATGCTTAAGATCATCCAGTTGGGTGCCAGAGACAGGCTTTGACCCTGAGCAGTCTGGCTCTATAGCCAAACTCTGAAACAACACCCCATACAACCTCCTGGTGCCCAGGAGACATGGGGAGGTGTGCAGAGGCCACTGAATCCTCAGGTGAACCAGGTGCATCAGGAGACAGTGTGAGAGTTGTCAGCACAAGGGTGAAGCATGGAAGCCACACGGGAGGGTGACATAGCCCAGGGAGGGCATGGGGGTGGACAAGGGAGGGGCCCTGAGGACCCAAGGAGCACAAAGAGAGGGGAATGGGGAAGAGAGAGAGAGAGTGTGTCAGGAAGAAGGAAGGAGCTCTGAGAAGCCAGGACAAGGGAGACAGAGGAAATCCTTGGGCATGGCCACAGAGAGGTCACTTCTGACACTGATGGATCAGCGCGGGTGGGAGGAATACCCCAAATGCTGGGGGGTTGGGCAGGGGGCATGCACCATGAGTGTAGATAACTCCGGTCATGATTTTTTTTTTTTTTTTTTAAAAGATGACCCGTAAGGGGATCTTAACCCTTGGCTTGGTGTTGTCAGCACCACGCTCAGCCAGTGAGCCAACCAGCCATCCCTATATAGGATCCGAACCCGTGGCCTTGGTGTTGTCAGCACCATACTCTCCCGAGTGAGCCACAGGCCGGCCCACTCCTGTCATGTTTGGTGGGGACAAAGAAAAATGCGTGATGGGGCAGTGACCCAAGGGGGTCCAGCTAGTAGGGAGAAGGTGCTGAAGTCAGTAGGGGTCTGTGCCCCTCATCCTCTGACATGGGAGGGGGAAGATTTGAAGAGAGTAGAGGGGCAGATGTGGGGCCCTCTGGGGAGACTTCAGACTGGACAATGAGTCTCCTTAGTACAGTGTGGGACATCACAGAGAGACATGGGGGAGCCTGGGGGCCTTAGGGAGGACCTGGGGGTAGATCCTGAGTGGGGATGGGGTGGGGGGTTGGATGGCCCATGGTCCCTTAGAGCTGAGGCCCAGCACTGGAAGGTGCTGAGGACCCTAGAGCCTAGTCCTAAGAGGCAGCCAAGTGTCTGAGGTGGAGGTTCTGAACCCACAATCCTGAAGAGGGGACCAGGAGGGAACTTCCTGGGCGGGGCTGGGGTGGACAGGCAGTCAAACCAGCCAGACAGGAAAGGGAAGGCCAGGATGCACAGAGGTGCCCTCCCCACCGGAGGGCAGGTGGGTAGCGATCATCTTGGTGGGAGTGGGTCCCCCAGGACAAGTAGGCTCCCCAGCAGAGGGGTCCTGCAGCTGTGCTCTGGCTGGGGAACTTCCCAGAGTCCTCTTCAATTCTGCAGGGCTAGGGCAAGTCCCCCTCTCACTGGGGCCTACCCCAAGGCTACCCTGACTCTTCTCGGACCAGGGGTAGCCTGTTTCTCCCCTCACATTAGAGGCTCCCCTTAGGCCAGGCTCAAGTGTTCCCTAGAACCTCCTTCTTGGGGACTCCTTTCTCTCCTTCTCTGCACCCCATCCGCCACCACACACACACACACACACACACACACGCACACTCACTCACACACAGAAGAGACTGAACACATAGCTACCTCAGGATTATTTTATTCACATGGCTTGGCGTGATACAGGCTATTCTGCCAGTGAGACAGGCACAGGCCTCCCCGCCCCTGCCCTGGTCAGTCGCCCACCTCCCGACCCTCTTAGGGTTAGTGCTAGTTATCTCACACACAAAACAAGGGGGACAGGTGAGGGGAAGACAGGAGGAGAGTCTCCATCTGCCGAGGGGTTTCAGACGGCAGCAGCCTGAGCTCCCTCCATCCTGGTGGGGCCTGGGGCCCCCGTCTCCGAAAACCCCACGCTGGGCAGCCGGACCCTGAATCCACCCTCTTCCCGGTCCCCACTCCCACCCTGGGCCTTGGGGCTTAAGGACACCCTGGGGAAGCGGAACTTGGGTGACTTCTCCCCCATAGGGGACTTGGGGGCTGCCTCACCCTCCTGTCCCCTACAGGCTTTAGAAGGGGCTGCCAGGCCCACACGGGGCAAGCGGACCCGACCCCTGCCCCGGCGTCCTGAGGCCCCTTCCCCACTGCCCTCCTCTTCCTCCTCCTCAGGGCTGGGGGACCCTTCCCCAGTGACCGTCTCACTTTGGCTGAAGCCCACTCGAGGCAGCCTGAGCTTTGGGCTCTTGGCCTTCTCACCCTCCTCAACCCCCTCCTTGGCCCGCACCAGGCCAAACCGGGGCAGCCGCACCTTGAGCTTGTGTCCAGCATCCCCCTCACCCTCTGCCACCTGGTACTCAGCATGGCTGCCCACGGCGGGTGGCGAGAGCTCCACATCGGGCAGCGAGAGGCGGAAGGTGCGCTCAGCCCCTGGGGGCTGGTCCTCAGCCCCCTCAGCCCCTGCTGTGGCCCCCAGTGTGGGCAACTTCAGTCTCAGCCCACCTTCGCCTGTGGCTGCCTCATGAGCCTGCGCCTCACGGCTCAGCCCCACATCCAGCTCAAGCTGGGGTACTGTCACAGTTGGCATCTTGAAGACACCCTCGCCCACCAACAGCTCACCACCCGCCACCTGGGCTCCAGGCAGAGACAGGGTCACCTGAGGCACGTGGACCTTGTAGGCTGCTATTCCTTCTGCTGAAGGGGCTGCACTGCCAGCCTCCTGCCCGAGGGCAGATGTCTCGCCAAAGCCAGTCAGCTCTACCTGGGGCAGAGAGATGCCCAGTGGAGGCACTCTCAGCCCCCCTTCATGGCCTTCAGTGACCACCTGCCTGATTGTGGACACCTGCAGACCGGAAAGGTGCATTTTGCTGATGGCCACTGCCTCCTCTGCCCTTCCTTCCTCCTGGGCCCCCAGCGTGACCAGCTCCACTTCAGGGATCTTAAGCTGCCCAGCTGCGGACTCGGGCTTCCCCCCTGGGCTGATGCGCCCACCCTGCACTTCCACTTCCTTCCCTCGAACCAGTCCAAAGGAGGGCATCTTCAGCTTGGGCATCTTTACCCTCCCATCCCAGCTCCAACCTTTGCCCTCCAACTCGGCCACCCCTGGCACTAGTTCTCCCACCTCAGTGTCCCGGCCTCTGACCCCAAACTTGGGCAGAGCAAACCTGGGCCCCTTGAGCTTGACATCAGCCCCTGCCACCTCCACCTTGCCTGTGGGCAGATGGGCATCCAGGCTGAGCTGTGGGATGGACAGATCAAGGGCAGGCAGTAGACCTGCTTCCCCTGTCCCTTTGATCTCAGCCTCGGTCCCCACCCGAGCCTTGGGGAGTGAGATGGCAAACTTGGACACCTTCACCTTGGTGGCTTGCCCAGCCCCCTCAGCCTCTGCCTTGGCCATCTTTGGCCCCGAGAGTCCAAACTTGGGCAGGGAGAATTTGGAAGAGGGCTTGACTTTCACCTCCATCATCTCTAGTCGCCCTTCCTCAACTTCCACTGTGGGCAGACGTGGAGTGACGATCTCAACAGAGGGCACTCGGAAGCCCGCTTCCCCGATTCCTGCCACCACAGGGCCCTCTGCCCGCTCCACCTTGCCCACTTCAGCTGCTTGGACCTGCCCCTCCAGGCTAAGGGCCCCTGGCAGGTCTATCTCCACTGAGGGTAGAGTGAGAGAGGGGACACCCACACGAGCCTCACCACCCACCTCTGGCTGCAGACAGGGAAGTGCCATCAGTTTCCCCGAGATCTCGGCACTTGGCTTGCCTAGTGACGGGGACCCTGCCCTCCCTAGCTTGGGCATAGTCATCTTGGGCATCTTGAAGCCAAACTCCATCCCCTCTGCTTTCTCTGCCCCAGCAGTTTTTAGCTCCGCCTCTGGAGCCTTGAGCAGCTTAACCTCTGGTGCCTTTGGAAGACACACATCTGGGACCTTAGGCACTTGCATTTCTGGCAGCCGAATCTCTGACACTTTTGGCAGCTGCACCTCTGGGAGGTGCACATCGGGCACAGCCATCTCAGGCACCTTGGGGAGTTTTATCTCCGGGAGCTTCATCTCAGGGAGTTTCATGTCAGGGACTTTCATCTCTGGGACTTCTGGCAGCTGCACCTCTGGGAGGTGCACAGCAGGCACAACCATCTCGGGCACCTTGGGGAGTTTCATCTCTGAGACTTTCGGAAGCTGCACCTCTGGGAGGTGCACATCAGGCACAGCCACCTCGGGCATCTTCGGGAGTTTCATCTCAGCAACTTTCGGTAGCTGCACTTCTGGGAGGTGCACGTCGGGCACAGCCATCTCGGGCATCTTCGGGAGTTTCATCTCTGGAACTTTCGGCAGCTGCACATCTAGGAGGTGGACATCAGGTACAGCCATCTCGGGCACCTCAAGGAGTTTCAATTCAGGAAGTTTCATCTCAGGCACCTTTGGGAGTTTCATCTCAGGGACTTTCATCTCTGGGACTTTCGGCAGCTGCACATCTGGGAGGTGCACATCAGGTACAGCCATCTCATGTACCTTCGGGAGTTTCATTTCAGGGAGTTTCATCTCAGGCACCTTTGGGAGTTTCATCTCAGGGAACTTCATCTCAGGGACTTTCATTTCTGGGACTTTCGGCAGCTGCACCTCTGGAAGACGTACTTCTGGCACAGCCATCTCCGGCACCTTTGGGAGTTTCATCTCTGACACTTTTGGGAGCTGCACCTCTGGGAGTCGCACATCTGGAAGGGCTGACTCTGGCACTTTTGGGAGTTTGATATCAGAGGGCTTGGCCTTGGGGAGCTTCACTTCAGGCCCTTTGGGAACCTTAACCTCAGGCCCTGAAACTCCAATGCCAAAGGAGGGCATCTTGATAGTGGGCAGCTTCAGCTTGCTCTCAACAACAGCTTCAGGGGCAGCAGGCCGGGGCTCCAGGAGAGAAAGCCCAAAGGTGGGCATTCGAAGTCTGGGACCCTTAGCCCTGGCCTCGGGGCTGACCTTGACCACCCTGGCCTCAGCAACTTCCTTTGCTCGAGCCCCAAAGCGGGGGAAACTGAGGCGGGGCATCTTCAGGGCCACTTCAGGCGCCTCTCCACGGGCCTCCACCTCTTTGCCTGGCAAGGCAAGGTCCACCCCCACAGTAGGCACTACCACATCCAAAGTGGGCACTGTCACCACTGCAGCCCCTTCCCGGGTCTCCAGGCAGGGAAGTGTGGGCAGAGTGGGAAGTGAGGGTAAAGTGGGCAGCTCCACTTGGGGGACCTGGATCCCTATGGCGGGGGGCTCCACAGCAGGTGCAGCTGGGGCTCCTAGACCAAGGGTTGGCAGGTGGAGGGCAAAGCCACCAACTGCTTCTGCTGAGGGGACCACCTTAGGGGCTGAGACCTGGGGGACACCCACCTCAGCACCCAGCAGCCGGGGCCCAACCAACTCCACTTGGGGGGCTGTGAAACGGGTTCCTGCTGCCACCTCAGCCTCCACCTTGGCCTTCCTGGGGGGAGGAGCAGCAGCAGCCAGTCGGGCTGCCTGGGCCTCTTCGGCCACTTCTCGTACACGCAGCCGAGGCAGCTGGAGGCGCCGGCGGACAGGGGCGGCTGGGACAGGACCCTTGACAGCCTCAGCTTTGAGGCCCCGACGCAGACGGGAGAACTTGGGAAAGGAGAACTCGACGTCAACAGGGGCCAGGTCTGCAGGGGCCCCCAGGGCCCCGGGCACCACCACCATCTTCTTCTTCTTCACAGGGGACAGACTCTGGATGTTCTAGGGAGAGAGGAGAGAGGCGGGAGGCGGTGTGACAGTGGGAGGTCAGGAGTGGACAGGAAGAGCCCCACCTGGTGTTGCACCAGGCTGGGAATGTGTTGGGTCAAGTGTCTTTGTCCCCAAACACCATCCCCACTTCCAAACACCATTACTGCCGGGGAAGAAAAAATATTCATTTAGAATCCCACAGTGAGTCAACAGGAATATAGGAACTGGGACCCAAGACTTCTAGGTCCTCATCCAGGATTTTCCCCAACACCCTCATTTTGGAGGTGGGGAAACTGAGGCTCAGGGAGAGAAAAAAATCTTGTCCAGGGTCACTCAGCCATAATGAAGCAGCACTCAGGCTGAAACCTGAACTTCCTGGTTCCCAGTACATTGGTTCAGGACCCCTAGGAACCCAGGTTCCGATAATGGGGATGCCTCTCCTAGGTGGGAGAGGGCCCTGGTCTGGGGTGGGTGGGTCCCCCTCCCCGGAGAGGAGCTTAGGGGCAGAAAACAAGGGGTAAGGGGGTGGGATTAGCGTGCGTTAGTGACGGCAAGACAGAGGGCAAGGCTGGCCCACGTGGCGGGGAGTGGGGCTCACGGCGCAGAGACAGGATCGCTGGGGCAATCCAGGGCCCGGACTGGGCTAAGTACGCGTACCAGCTTGGCCACCTTGGCCCGCGGGCCCTTGATCTCGTAGCCGGCCACGGTCCCGGGCCGCAGCGCCAGGTCCCCGGTGGGCACAGTGCGCTTTAGGCAGAAGGAGACCTTGTAAGGCTCTGCGCATTGCAGCAGGCGTAGTGCGTCCTCGTACTTGAAGTTCTCAAAGAACACGCGGGCGCTCAGCAGCTGGTCCCCTGCAGGCGAGGTGGAGGTGGGCGGGGCGTGGGCATCTCTAGGCTCTGCCCAAGTCTGGTCCCGCCCACTTCCTTGAAGCCAGAGTGGTGAGGCCCCGCCCAAATGTTTGGCCCAGCCTATCCCCGAGCGCAGGCTTGCGACGCAAAGTTCTGCCCTGTCTGAGATCCCGACACCTAAGAACAAAGCCCCGCCCCGTGGTATCAGCTCCGCTCCGCCCCTCTCCCGCACTGAACCAATCTAGGCCCACTCAGGCCACGCCCGTTGCCTTTCTACTCCCCCACCCCATCCCCACATTTCGGACACTGACTTTGCTTCCTTTACTGAGAGAACAGAATGAAAAGGTAACTTCCAGAAGCTCCCACACCGTCTTAGTCACCGCCCTGCTCCGGTGGCGATTTACTTCACTCTCCCTCCTGTTCCTAGGGATGAACTATCCCCTAGCTCAAGTCAATCCCTCCACCACCTTCCCAGGGACATCCTCCAGCAATTCTTCCCTCTCTTCCCATAATATCAGTTTGACCCTGTCTTCACATTACAAACATGCTCTTGTTTCTACCATAAAACAGGTTTTCTTGACCTCAGTGCCCCAGAGCTCTCGCCCCATTAATCTGTTCACCCTGGCAGCAAAATGTATTGAGTTGTCTAGCTGCATTATTTCCACTTCTGCAATCGCACTTCCGACCCCGACCCCTGCCACACACATACACACACCTGAACTGCTCCTGGCAAGATCCCAGGCAGTAACCTTCAATGGCCAAGTCCCAAACTTTATCTGCTTGGACCACTCAGCATTTGACCCAACTTCACTCTCACTCCTTCATCCACTTGCTTCTCTTGGCTTCCAGGATGCCACGCCATCTGGAACTCCTCTGGAGGTTTCTTCTCAGCCTCCATGGATGGTTCCTTCCCATCTCCTTGACCTCCTAAAGACACACTGCCCCAGGGCTCAGGCCTCAGACTTCTACTCTTCTCCATCTACATGTTACACTCACCCCTTGGGAATTCTTGGGAAGTTCATCCAGGCTCAGGAGTTTAAAGATCATAAATCTGCCGACAACTCCCAAGTTTATCTCTCCAGCCCAGAATTCCCGCTCAACCCTAGACTCATATATCCAACTGCTGCGCCATATCCCTGCCTGGGTGTTCAACAGACACCTCTCATTTAACAGATACAAACTGCACTCCTGGTCTTTCTTCTCCAAACAAGTGCCAGCCCCAGTGTCCCCCTTATGTGGAATTAGCAACTCCATCCTCAGGTCAAAAATTCCGATGGGGGCCGGCCCGTGGCTCACTCGGGAGAGTGCGGTGCTGATAACACCAAGGCCACGGGTTCGGATCCCATATAGGGATGTCCGGTTTGCTCACTGGGTGAGCATGGTGCTGACAACACCAAGTCAAGGGTTAAGATCCCCTTACCGGTCATCTTTAAAAAAAAAAAAAAAAAAAAAAAATTCCTGGACATATCCTTGGCAATTCTCTTTCCATTACCCTCTATATCTAGTCATGAAGGCTCCTCCTCCAAAATATATACAGACTCCAAATCCTTCTCTTCACCTCCAACAACACTGTTCTGGTCCTCAGCATTACTATCCCTTACCTGGATAATCACAGTAGCCACCTTGTTGATGTCCCTGCTTCCAGCCCTGTGCCCCTACAGTCTTACTGTTAATGCAACAGTTCAAAACAGTCCATGTTCCTCCTCTGCTCACAACCCTCACAGGATAAAAGCCAAAATCCTCACCATGCCCTATAAGACCCTTTAAACTTGCCCTTCCCCTTACCTTACTGACCTCATCTCTTACTCTCCTTTTCACTAATTCTACTGCACCCACACTGGCTTCTTTGCTGTTTCTCAAATAAGCTAGGCACTCTCCCACCTTGGGGCATTTGCACTGGCTGTTCCCTCTGCCTGGAATTCTCTTCCAGATGGCCACATAGTTTGTTTTCTTAGCTCCTTCAGCCTTTGACCCTTCCTAGCCCACCCTGTTTAAAAATGCCGCTTTCCTTCTAGCATCTGCAGCACATATTGCCTTTTAATTTACTGGGTATTTTACTTATTTGTTTAAATATATATCTCCCCACTATGTAAGCTCCATAAGTGCAGGGACTGTTCTCTGTTTTGTTCACTGCTGTAGCCCAAGGACCTAAAATAATGTCTGAAATAGAAGGCACTTAATAGTTGTTGCATGAATAAATCACATCACCTTCATCCATGTTTCCTAAAACATCCCTATTTACTAAGTTCCACTCCCCACGCCCTCCAATTTGTTAACTCCGCCCTTTTTCTCCTACCCCAACAACAAAAACATTAACTAGCACTTACATAATGCTTACTATGTGCCACTTAGCTATGTGTTAAGTGTCTTCAAATACTGACTCATTTAATCTACGTACATAATAACCCCATGAGGTCAGTACTAGAATTATTCCCATTTTACAGATGAGAAAACTGAGGCACAGAAAGATCACAAGCTAGTAAACAGGGGACCTGGGATTTGAACCCAGACAACGAACCTCCAGAGCCAGCTCTGAACAACCACAAGGCCAACAAACAAAGCCCACCCCAAGCCCTTAACCCCGCCTCCTGGTCGTCGGCCATGCCTCCACTCCCGAACCTTGGGCAGATTCCTAATCCCGCCCCCGCGGGTCCGCCCAGCTTCTTAGCCAGGCTCCGCCCACCTTCCTGCAGGCTGAGGCTCCTGGCTGCGGGTGAATCCTCTCGCAAATCGCGGACGAAGATTCCTTCTTTGCCGCCGCCCGCTACGTTGATGCCGGTGACTCCGGTCTGTGCCTCGGTTTCCACGATGATCTCCACCAACTCCGCTCGCCTCAGCTCCTGCGGATGGCGGCGAGGGGTCGCTATGGGGAGCTAGGACCGGACCTCGCCCAGAGCCCACCATCGCGCTTAAAAGTGGCTCTTAAACGGGTCCTCGGGTCCTCGGGACACACGCCCCTCAGCGCGGCCCAGGCAGGATGTCCCGGCCCACCCACTCTGGCATGTCCCCATGAAGCAGGCGCGCGGTTCGCTCTAGGACCCGCGGAACGGTTAAACAGTTCGGCCCGCGTGCTGTTTTCTCTGAGTCCCCTGGGTTGCCAGCGGCAGCTGACTTGTGACCGAAACGCTGGGCAGGGCAATGGGGGCGTGGCCAGTTGGGTAGGGTCTGGGGGGGGTCAGAGAGCATAGGCCAGAAAGGAGGGGCCAAGTGAGGTCTAGAAGAGTACCAAAAATATGAGACGGGTGTGGCCGGAGTTTATGAGAGATTTATTTGGAGTAGGGGCGGAGACCCAGATTCTAAGGGTGGGATTCAGCTATGGGGAGGGGCTTTAATAACAGCAGAACAAGGGGTGGGGTTAAGGGTGGGATTCCAAGGAAAGAACTGGACCCTTAATCCAAGTGGTATGGGGAGATGGGAAGTAGGATTCGCCTCCTTGCAGGCTTGAGTGTGTGTGAGATTGTGCTTTATTGTGGACTCTGTGACCCCAAGACCTGCATAACGCCCACGGGAGAGGGAATCCAGTGGGGGTGGGGGGTGCGTGGGTAATGAATTGTGGACCAGCAGACATGGCATTTCTGCTATTTACTGTAAATGGTGCAGATTGGCCTTAGCCCAGAAGCGCACTGTGGAATTCACATCGGGGCTTCCCATTAAGAGGCAGAGATCTCCGTTCTGTCTAGGAATACAACCTGCTGTGTATCTCAGGGAGAACTTCCCCGCTGTAAGGTAAGATAATATGAGTGTACTGGAAAGTGTGTGATTATGAGCTGAGACTTGAAACAGCAGGGATCCGAGGGGATGCTGCAAAGGTCAGGGCATCAAATCCAACACGAACTGGAATTAAGCCCAGGGCTCCAAGAGGGGAAAGCAGGTCTGGGCCAGATATCCCACAGCAGTGGCCCCAAGGGACTAGGGAGCTAGGCAGGGCAGTGTGGGAAGGTGAGCAGAGTTGTGGTAGGGGCAGCAGGGAACAGCATGACTATCACCACTACCCTTTGGCTTAGCCAGCCACACAGCAAGTTAAGCAGCGGGGCCTTGGCCTTAAGTCTATGACTCCAGAACCCGTAGGCCATCCTATCGGCAGCGACCTCCTTGCATTTTACCCCTGTCTACTATCCCCAGCCTCAGCTTGGCTCCTATAAAAGTAGACCCATTTTGTGCCTGGCATACATACAGTAGGACACAGTCAATGCCAATGCTGTCTCAGTTAACAGTGACAGAAGCTAACATTCAAAGAGTCTTCCTCAGTGCCAGATTCTGTGCAAGTGGCCCAAGTGCAAGTCCTCAAAATCCTCAGAAGTGGGGACCATTACCCTATTTTGCCAATGGGGAAACTGAGGCTGGAAGAGGTGAGGCTGCCTGTCCAGGGCTGCATAACTGAAGTGGTAGGGTTGGGATTTGAGCCCATGAGTCCAAGCCCATGTCCTTAATCACTACACTGATGAAGGGTTTCTACTGAATTTTTTAAGCTTATTATTAATGTAACTCCTTTATGCTCCAATGAATTAATGAATTAGCTGCTGTGAGTCTTAATCTGTGCCAGGTGCTGCACTAAGCACTTTAAATATGTTCATTTTTTCCCTCACAGTGACCCTTAAAATAGGCCCTGTTGCTATTTCCATTTCACAGGTGGGGAGACTGAGGCACAGAGAAACCAGAAAGTGTCTCCTTGCTGCCCATCTGTGCCCCCCTCCTCCCCATGCCCCACAAGTTCCCCTTGCAGGACATGTGGGAACTCACCTCAGCACTCCGGCTCCTGGCCTCCATGGCACTGCTGGGAGTCACCTGGACCCCAGGCTCCTGCTTTCTCTCTCCCTTCTGCTGCAGGACCAGCTTCAGTTCTGCATGGAGCAGCTGCCTCTGAGCCTGTGGGGACAGGGATGCAGGCTTAAGGCCAGAAAGGATGAGAGGTGGAGGCTGGGCTTAAGTAGGAGGGAGGTCAGAGTGAGTATCAGAAGATGAGTTGGGCTCCCCACAGCCCCAGCTGTTCTCTCACCACTGCCTGGGCGCAGGCAACCCCTCCTAACAGGAGCCCAGCCCTAGGTGCTGCACAGATGTCTGCAGGGCTCTCGCCCTTCCTCTGGGGTCTTCTTGCCTGCCAAGGAGAGACCAGGGCATGAGGTTCCAGGCAAGCCAGGGAGGGGTAGGAAAGGGCATGTTGCACCAGCCAATGCTCACCTGAGCGTCACCTCCAGCTCCTCGGGTCTCCTGGGTCCGGGGCTCTAAGAAGAATAACATGAGTAGTATTATTGGCTAAGACCCACTGATTGCATCCTGAGTGCCAGACCCTTTCTGAGCTCTGTCAATACCACAACCCATAGTACAAGTGGGGAAACAGGTTCAGAAGACCTTTACTCAAGATGACACGGCTGGACAACAAACAGTAAAGCCAAAACTGACTTCTAGGCCTGTCTGACAGCAGAGCCCCTGCACCAACCACCTTGGCCCACTGAGAGGGCCAGATTCATTACAGAATAATTATAAGCACTCCCATATACTCCCCATGGGCAGATCACCTCACCTCTCTGTGTTTCAGTTTCTTTGTCTATACAATGAGGAAAATAAGAACTTCTACCTCACAGGGCTGTTGTGAGGATCAAAAGAGCTAATAAATACAGAGTACCACCCACGTGATAGGCGCTTTATAAGTACTTGCTATTATGATTACTAATAACTTATGGTCCTGACCTGGTGTCAGATGCCCCACAGGCGTCATTGCACGTGGACCTCGCAACAGCCTTGTGAGGTCAGTACTATCATTGAGGCCATTATAGAGGAGACACCTGAGGCCTGAGACTCATCGTTTGTTTTCAAAGTTCATCCCTCTGATGAACGTCTTCCGCAGCTTTTTGGGCTTTTTAGCGGACTCCAACTCAGACATGATGGCAGTGGGAAGAGAGACTTTAACGATGAGTCCTCGGTGGCATCCACAGACAGAAAGTTCAGTTAGTCCTCATTAAGATTTATTCTTTTTTTTAAGTGGGTTTTTTTTTATAGGCACTAATTAGATTTTTTGAAGTGAAGATCTTTGTTTTAAATCACTCTCTATACTCTGTGAATAAGACCAAGTTGTAGTAGTAGAGGGAAAATAAATATGGTGTTGTCTTTGAGAAGTAGTAAAAAGCACTGATTAAATATACATTATAACTTGCTTAGCCTTGTAATTTCTGTTCAATAAAATTTTATTTAAAATGTTTTAGAAGAGATCGGTGTGTGGCTCACTTGGGAGAGTGCGGTGCTGATAGCACCAGGGCCACGGGTTCGGATCCCATATAGGGATGGCCGGTTAGCTCACTGGGTGAGCGTGGTGCTAACAACACCAAGTCAAGGGTTAAGATCCCCTTACCGGTCATCTTTTAAAAAAAAAAAAAGAAATGGCTGAGATAAGACTTGAACTTGTCAGAAAGCTCCAGCCCCTTATATGGATAATAATAATTACTAATGGGTATTGAGCAGTTACTATTTGCCAGTCGCTGTGCTAACCACTTCACCTTCTACCTCACCTTAGAAAACCCTGTCCCCTCAGGTCACGGGAACTTGCTCAGGGTCACTCAGCACAGCGAGAAGGAGGCAGAGCTGGGATTCACATGCAGCCTTCTGCCTGGTCCTTCTGGGGAAATGGAGATGAATGTCGTCTCCCCCAGTCCCCCACTCTGGGCTTATCCTCACGGCCCCCACCTGGCATGCCAACCCGCCAACCCCTACTGCACAGGAAAATGTCAAGCCTCACGCGGCACATTCCCTCACACAATGGCCCATCTGCTGTGCCCAGTCACATTCCGCCCCTGCCCACCCATCTCCAGCCATACAATGGCCCTTCATAGTCCACCACTGGCCAGAAGACACAGGGACTCCCTCAACAGTCCCTGTTGCACCAGCTCCTTTGGCGGGCCCCCACCGACAGTGTTGGAGGGCCCATCTTTGGATCTCTTAGGGGTCCTGGTTTCCATTCTTCCCTGGCCTCCCCTCTGGGCCCCTGGTTCCTCTGAACAGGGAGCGGACCTCTCCCAAGCTGGCTCCCATGTCTGGAGTGCTTCCTCTGAACTGGGTCCTGTGCCAGCACTGATAGGCCTCAAAATCACCCTGGATGTGATAGCTGTTACAGTGGTGGAAACTGAGGCTCACGGAGGGGAAATGACCTCTCTGGGGTCACACAGCCAGGAAGGAGCAGAGCTAGGGCCCTTGACGCCTACTCTGCACCTTAACTTGCATTGGTGGTTCTGAGCACTAAGGAGGACCAAGCAACAAAACAGCTGGGGCCGGAGCTGGGCTGGGAAGGAATCGTCGAGAGTGCCAGAAAGACATTTTTAGAGAGACCTCATTGGTGGCAGGCCTGGACTGGCCATGCACTTTACAGACTTAGCCCCACAAGACTCCATTCTACTGATGAGTAAATGAGAGTTAAGAGATGGAGTATCACAGTGACAGTTGGGACTTAAACCTAGGTGTGAAAAGCTAACTCTGAGTCCCTTATCCAGGATCGTGACAACACGGCATCCTGAGCTGGGGGTAGAAGCCTGGGCCTTGTAGGTGGTGGTAGAGATGGGAAGAGGGACTCCTGAGCCACAAGCTGTCTGCTGCAGGCTGGGGCAACGAGGGTCACACCCAGAGGCTCGCACAGGAAGCTCAGGCGGGGCAGGAGCAAGAGTGCCCTCCTTCCTCATCCGTGCCCGGGACAGCTGCCCAGTCCAGGTTATATTTAGCCCAACTGTGCCCTTCCTGAGCCATATGTCCAGGTCCTGGGGTGGGGTGGGGGCAGCTTCGGAAGGAAGCCCACCCCGCCACAGGCACTCTCTGTTCCCAGCTTTGCCCATCCCACTAGGCAGTGGAAGGGGGATGGGGAGGCTCCTGGTGGAGGGAGTCCCTGACTTGTGTTAGAAGATTTAACGGGGCTCCCCTGGAGAATCATAGCCAGACAGAACCCTCCAGATGCCAACAGCCCATTTCCTGAGCGGTTATTGTGGCGCTGCCCTGGTACATGCCTGAGCTTCTGGAATCCTCAGAGTCCCTGTTTCTTGAGCATTTACTATATGCTAAGATCCTTCCCTGCCTTGCTCATTAAATCCTTGTAACACCTCACTGGGGCAGGTACACTTAGATATCCATTTAAGATGTTAGTTGGCTGGCCCATTAGCTCATTTGGTTAAGATGCTAGTCATGCCCTTTAGAGTAGCTGAGACTAAAGGGCTGTCATTTGGACCCCTGGGCCCTTCAGCTGAGTTGGGTCCTACTGAGGAATCTGCTGGGGGCTTTGCCCTTCTGGCCCTCTGTCCCCAGTGGCTGCTGCCAACCTCATTTGGGAATTCTGTCCACTCAGAGCCTCAGCTTCCCTAACTACCAGTGATCTGGTGCCCTCAGCAATGGAGCAGGGGGTTGACCTGACTTGTCCAGGCCCCTAGACATTATCTGAGACCATCTAATGGATGGAAGGGGAGGTGTTAAGGCTGTGGACTCTGGCTACCCCAGTCCCTGCTCCAGCACTTCCCAGGTGTGAGTACTTGGGCAAGGTCCTTCATCTCTGAGGTCTCAGTTTCTTCATCTGTAAAATGGAGCCAGTAAAAGTGGCTTTGAAGATTTGTGAGATAACAGCAGGTGCTTAGAATATTTCCAGTATATAGTAAGAGCTTAATTAATATAAACTAGTCTCTGACAGCAACATGAAGTATATGGTGAAAGGGGTCTTGCATTTCACAGTGTCTCATATCCAGCCTTTGCTCCCCAGTGCTACCACTTCCCCCTCCACCAAAGGGGAACTTTGGGTGAGGAGCAAAATCCAGTTCGGCACCAGCCTCCCACTGACAGCATCAGCACTGTCTCCCCAGCACTCTATTCCAGGGACCAGAAAGTTTGCTGCACCCCAGATATCCTGCCCCTGCATTGTATAAGCAGTAACTCATTTACTCTCATGCCAGCCCTGTGAGGTGGCCTCTGTCAGCCCATTGTAGGGATGGGAAAGTGGAGGCACAAAGAGTGAAGCAACTTGCCCAAGGCCACACAGCCAGAAAGAGGGGGAAGTTAAGATTTGAACCCTGGGCATGTCTCCAAAATCTGTGCCTTTAACCCCTACACTGCATTGCCTCCTGAGCCCCAGACACCCTCCCAGCAACTCCCAGGACCTTGGGTCCTGTTCCCATGGCTTCTCAGCCTGGCTAGGGAGGGGACGGGCCAGCTGATCGCTTACCGCTGGGCCTCCAGACACCTCGAGAGCTCCCGGTCCGTCTGCGGCCCCAGCCCTAGGCTTGGGGGGAAAAGGAATGGGGAGGGGGAGGAGAGGGAGACCCCAGCCATTGGCTGCTGAAGTGTGATGTCACTAGAGGGTGGGGGGGGACAAACATCCCCTTCTCCCAGCTACATCCATCCACAAGGGGGTGGGGACCACGAGAGTCGCCTCTCCCTTGCTGGGACAGAGACCTCCACCATGAGCCCCGCTTCAGAGACTTGCACATTGTTACCCCCACTCAGAGGCTCAGCACCCAACTCTGCCCCCACTATTTCCTGGCTCCCAGACCCAGGCATGGCTCTGATGGTTCCTGGGGCCCCTAAGATAAACTCCTTTCACTCCCTCTCCCTGTCAATTTGGGTTCAAATCCCAGCTCAGCCATTTCCAGTCTGTGTGACCTTTGGCAAGTCACAACTTCTGTGTGGGCATCAGTTTCTTCATCTCTAAAATGGGGATCGTAAGAGTGCCCACCTCATGGGGTTGTTGTGAAGATTGAGTTAAAAGAAGCTAAAAACGTAAAACAATACTTGGCACATAGTGAGTACTA